CTGTGTCCCGAGCCTGCGGCACTTTCACAGCCTGACGTGTGCACGTGGGCAGCTCCCCTCCTGCCTGACACCACAGGAACTGCTTACAGACACGCGCAGGATACACACGCACACACATGCAGGTATGCACACAAACACAGATACAGACCCACACATACCGATACAGGGACACACAGATACAGACAGACACACATCTAAAGATATAGATACACAGATACAGACAAATAGACACACACAGAGACATGCATATAAAGATGCACACACACAGACACACACACACACACACACAGACACAGAGACACACAGACAGACACACTCGCTTGCTCCTCCCACCTGCCCAAGGCTACTTGGCACAGACACCTTGGGTGGGGTCCCACATGTGATGCCCCCACCCTCACTTCAGTCCCAATCGGAGGGGCCTCCCTGGCCGGAGCTGTCCACCCACCATGGCAGGTATGGGAGGGGTGGCCGAGAGCCACTCTGAGCTTCGTCCGCCCTGAACAGTCTCTGTCCGGCAGGTGGCAGTGGGCTGCAGTTGCCCCGTGGCCGGGGCCTGAGGGGGAGGCCGGGCAGCAGGCTCGCTCTTTTCAGGCACCAGGCTGGGGGATGGGGTTTTCCTGCAGCAGGGAAGGCAGGGAAATTCCAGTGGATGCCGGGAGGGGGTGGCGGTGAGGGCCCAGAGAAGGGACGCACCTCACCCGACTCCTACCCCACGAGCAGTCCCTGTGGGTGCTGAAGGGCAGCTGCCCTGGGGTGTCAACCCCAACACTGTCACCTGGTATCCATCTGATGGGGAGCCCCCTCTCTGAGCCTCTCGGGGAATGCATGGGTCACCTCCCCACAAAGGTAGCAAAGCACCAGGCCTCTCACTGGGGGGGCACCGACGTCCACAGCGCTGGCTTGTTGGGGGGACGGAGTGTCCCCCGGGAGTGTGCTGTGGAGGGCGGGGAGTAGGGGAGAGGTCCTGGTCTGGGCCCACCTGATCCCAGTTAGGAGCTGCATCAGCCGGGCCTCCCAGGCAGCTGTTAAAGGGGGTCCGCCCTGAGCCTCCCGAGACAATGGGGGCAGAAGCCAGACCAGCTGGCTCAGCTGCTGGCAGCACCTGGGGGCCGGGACAGTGGCTGTGTGACCCTCCCACGGAAGTGAGTTTCCGAGTTGGAGGAGGCAGGATGCAAGCTGGCCGGGAAGTTGGCATCCGAGGTCACCCCCTGGCCCTCGCGGGTCAGGCCTGATTGTGCAGCCCTGTGGGGGCGGCAGCGCAGTGGGGAGGAGACAGGTTGGCCGTGGGGTGGTCACCGTGTGGACGGTGGCTGTGCTAGGGCCAGGAAGGGCTGGCTTGCTGCGTGGCACACGACCCGGGTAGTCCTCGCCTCGGGTGCATGCAGCGAGGTCCCTGCACCTGAGTGTCAGCGGCTACGTTGGTGCCCAGGTGGATGTTGGTGTTGGTGTGGTCTGGGCGTCTCCTCCACCTGCAGGCTGACCCGTGCTGGTTCGTCTACAACACGGCGGGGCTGCCTCCAGGACCCTTGGGTATGGCTTAGCCCCCAGCAGTGAGTGGGTGGGTAGCCTGCCACCTGGCCCTGCCCTTGCCCAGGGCTCTGGGGTCTCCTTTCTGGGATTGTGGGCAGGGCACCTCAGGATTCCGCTGGCAGTGCCCACAGATGCTAGGGAGACATCAGCTTGCGGCTCTGAGCTGCATGGTGAAAGGACACAGCGGCTCGGACGGTGGACTGAATGAAACAGGAGGACAATTGTGAGGGGGTCGAGGGGTGGGTGGGGGCTGCACCTGCTGTGAGTCAGAGCAGGCTGAAAGTACCCAACCCAACTCAGCCCCCATCGGGGACCAGCCCTGACACCCCTGTCCCCCACGGGGTAGGCCAGCAGCGTTCCTTGACTATACTGCCCAGGTTTGGACAGGAAAGCCCCCCGGGACGTTTCCAGAGGGGCGCCACAGTCTGGGTCCCAGCTCACTCCAGGGGGCCTGGGGTGGGGGTTGTTGGAACCTCGAGAGTGGCGTGCCTCCCACCCCTTGCTCCCCGGCAGCCCCTGCTGTGCTGGGACCTGGCTGGGTAGGACTCCCGCTGGCCCTGGGTCACCTGGCGGGTACAGGAGCTGAAAGGATGCCCAACAGGGCCCCGGTGTCCTTCAGGGCCGGCCTGCGGTCAGTGGGAACAAGCAGGCATTGTGCCTAGCCTGGCACTGTGCTCCACCCGGTGTGCCCTCCCCGGGGAAGGCGGGTGGGCAGAGGTGGGTGTGGATATCCTCCCTGCCCCTGCCCTGCCACCATGCCCAGCTCTGCCCAACCTTGGTTTCCCTACTCCTGGGGGAGGGGTGGTGGCCCTGCAGAGGCCCAAGACCTTTATCTGCCCCCCCCCACCTCCCTGGGGGGCCCAGGGCAAGCAGCTTGCTCTTCCTGACAAGACAAGCCCCAAACCCACAGCCATAGAGTCAGGGTCTCCCCAAAGATGGTCCGCCTTAGAGAGAATGGACAGCCTCTCTTTCTCCCACAGCGCGGCTGGTGGGCTGGAACACCCGGCTTGAGGTTCCAGCCGGGTGTTTAAGCCGCTGGCCTGCCAGGGCGCCCTTAACAAGAGAACAACCACCCACGCTCCCATTTCCAACAGGGCCTCTTCTCAGGTGCCAGGCCAGGAATTCCACGTAGCTTCAGGGGTGATGGTGGTGGTAGGGGGGGTAGGGGCACAATTCTCCCTGTGACAGCCGCCCTTTCACCTCCAAAGGGTGGGGGTGCATGGCAGGACCTGAGACCCATGGGCCTGGCTGGGGGGAGCCTGTGAGAGTCTGGGTAGCGGCAGGCCAGGGTGGGCAGGTTGTGGAAAGAAGGGGGCCTGCAACCCTGGGGCTGGGGGCCGAAGACGGAGTGTGTGCAGGGCAGGCATGTCCTCTTTCTGGGGCCCCTAGGGGTGTGGGCCTGGCCCCCTGCTCAGCCTGGCCTCTAGGGGGCTGGTGAAGAGAGCCGGGGGAGGGCAGCCACACCCCGACTCTCCCCTGCCGGCTGGACTCTCAGTTGATCAGTGTGTCACCTCGGGGGACCGCGGGCCCTTGGAGCCTTTATTTCAGCCCGCAGCCCATGTGAGGTCAGCAGGGCCCTGGTGCCGCACCTCTTGGGGTCTTGGGGGTGGGGACACTCGTGTGGTCAGCTGGCTGGGCTGCTGCAGGCTGTGGCCAGCGGGGAGGTCTGGGTACTTCCTGTTGCGGGAAGAAAGGGCCTGCTTAGTTGATGAGGTGGGAACAGTGCTTCCATTGTCACAGGAGCACCCACCCCTCAGGGTCCATCTCATGGCCATGGGGAAACTGAGGCCAGCCAGCCGGGCGCCCTTGTGTCTGCTGCCCGGGCTGGCACCTGTCCTGCTTCCTTTTGGCTCAGCCTGCCACCCTAATCCCCTTTCTGCTCCAGGCCATGGAAACCAACAGACCAGGGCGCATTCTGGGCGCGGCTGGGACTGGCCGCAGGGACAGGGCCAGGCCTGCTGCGGACCCTCCCCTCGAGGCCACAGTGCTGTTCTCCTGGGCTCCTCCTTATGCCCCTAGCTTTTGTCTTCCTGATCAGGGGGCTTCTGGGGCAGGGGCTCCCCCAGGGGGCTGAGACAGGGGCAGCCTTCCCCGGTGCTGGCCCGCCAGGCTCTTGCAGGCTGGGTCCAAGGGGCAGCAGAATGGCTATCCCTTGTGGATGGGGGCTCTGGCTGGGGGTGAGCAGGAGCCCATGGGCATTGCAGAGGGATGGGTGGGTTGAGCATTGTGCTGGGGACAGAGGGGGGCAGGAGGGGGCGGTAAAGGGGGATGTGGGGGCAGGGGCACCATCTCCAAACTTTTCCTCCTAGGTGTACTATACATCCTGCTGCCCTGGGTTTGGGGACCTGGCAACCCTGTGCTGCCCAACTGGGAGCCACCCTGCCCCGGGACACGGGGGCTGAAGCCCTGCTAGGGGCCCCATGATCTGAGGAAGGAGCCACCCCTCCGTCTGCTTCTGGGTGCACACATTCAGAGGGGGCCTGGGCTGTGAGGGGCGGTGGGGACCAGAACCTTGCTCATGTCGGCAACTGACCCCCCCAGGCACTCCTGGTGGGCCACAGTCACTCGGTGACACCCCAGTGCCGGTGCAGACATCAGGGCCCCCAGCCCCCACGGGTGATGTCAGGGAACTCAGCCCAGGCGGCAGCTTCTATCCCACCAGGCCCCTGCAGTGTTTTGTGATGACTGCCCTATTGGGGTGCAAGCTGCAGCTGTGAGCACCTCCTCGGCTGTGAGCCCCATGACACCCCCAGCCCATATCCACCTGCAGGGGGAGAGGCTTGTGGTCCGGGAGATGCTGTAGCTGCCTGCTCTGTGTAGCCGGCACCTCCTGCTGGGCCCCCACCCGCCTCAGCACGCACCCCCTTTCTGGCTTAGCCCCGCACCTGGACCAGAAGGGGGTCCCCTGACTCGGGGCGGGGGCCGGGTGACCGGGGGTGACCGTGGCCTTCTCTTGCAGCTTCCTCATTGTGCTGGTCTGCCTCGTCTTCAGTGTGCTCTCCACCATCGAGCAGTATGCCGCGCTGGCCACCGGGACCCTCTTCTGGATGGTACGTGGGGGCTGCCGGGGCGTGGGGACCTAGTGCTGACCGGGGCGCTCACCTCTCCAGAAGCTGGGTCTGAGGGTGGGCAGTATTGCCCAGTCCCTGCCTGTCTGGGGACATCCCAGCTGTCCTTAGCCCATGGCCTCTGCTGGCTGGCGGCTAGCCCTGGGACTGGAGGTGCGGGGACCCCCTGGGCCCAGCGACATCCCCAGGGCAGGGAGGAGAGCCCGTGGCTGGCTGGCGGGGACATATGTGCCCAGGGGAGCATGGATGGGGCAGTCTGGGGCTTCTTGGCGAGTGCTGTGAGGAGGGGATCTACAGGCCTCCTCGATGGACTGGGTCCACCCCAGTGGCTGGGGACAGTCACTGGGCAGGGCTGTCTGGACTTCTTAGTGTCCTGCTATCCCTCCCAGGAACTCCCTCCCGGGGGCGGGGGGCTCCCCATCTGCACAGGGCCCTCAGGACAGCCTGTCGGTGGAATGAATTTCCAGTGATCAAGCCCTGTCCCTGAGGGGCAGCAAAACAAAGGGGGAAGGCCCTTGTTCCAGGTGCATGTGGGGCCCTGTGGCCAGACGCCCCGCGCCCACTGCCCGCAGCCTTGGTGACCACGTGTGACCATCGTCTGGGCACGCAGCTTCCTGGGAGCCTCACATGCTGGGGTCTGTCAGCGACCGGCTTACTGTATGCCTTCACAGCCCCCGCCCCGGACTAAGTCCTCTCCCCGCTGCCGAGCACAGGGCCGAGGCTGGAGCTCGCTGGAACACCCTCTCTGGGGGGCACAACTTGACTGGTATGCAGATGGCATTTTCTTGGGGACATGTGTGTCCCCTCTGCACAGTGCACACAGGCCCCCGCCGCCCCCCACCCCACCTCCACCTACCACGGCGATTTCTTCAGTGGTAGGCGGTGGCCCGAGTCAGGCCCGGTGCCCAGTAGAAGGAAGCCCGGGGGTCTCAGATGTGCACGCGTGCCTGTGTGTGTGTCTGTGTGTGCGCGTGTGTCTGTGCATATGTGTGTCTGCCTATGTGTGTATGTGTGTGCGTGTGTGTGTGAGTGTGTGTGCGGTGGGCGGGCTCCCAAGCTGACAGGGGAACGCGGTTGTCTTCTCATTCCATCTGAGTCCCCTGCCCCTGAGCAGTTGCGCCCCCATCCAGCTCGTGGGCCCCTTTCCTTCTCGCCAAGCTCCTTCTTGAGAATCGGAGAGGGTTTGTGTCCCTGGATTGCGCTGAGGGGCTGTGAACATGAGGAAGGTGGAGGAGCCGCAGGCACACCGCGGTTGCAGCCATGGGCTCAGGCTGAGGGCCCGTGGTGAGGCCGGCGCAGGGCCGGCAGGGTTTCGTCTGTTGTGTGAGGGGTTCTAGCGATCGGAACGGACAGCGGCCACCTCGCTCCTCCTCCTCCTCCTCCTCTCTGACCCCAGATGGCCTTCCCTTTCATGGCCATTTGCACACCAGTCCACCCACAGCCTGCGACTGCCCCTTCTTCTGTTCTTGCACCCCTGCGACTGCCAGCCCTGGGAGTCCGTTTCCTCTCGTGGGGTACCCTGTCCTCGATGCCACACCCCTCCCGTCCACTGTGGTGACCCCGTAGGACGGAGCAGAAGGGCCCCTGTGGGTGTCTGAGGCTGTAACTCTTTACAGGAGTAGGAAGCCTCCTCTTTCTCCCTCAGAGCTGCTGCTGGGTTTGAACTTCTGACCTCGGGTGAGCAGCCCAGTGCCCTGGTGTGATGTTCTGTGTAGGCTGCCCTTGCCAGGGGCTTCGTGTGTGTGTGTGTGTGTGTGGTGTCTTTCGTGTGTGTGGTGTCTCTCGTGTGTGTGTGTGTGTGTGTGTGTGTGTGGTGTCTCTCGTGTGTGTGTGTGTGTG